TCACTCTGCTAATTCAGTGTCTGTTCCTACTAATACCAATGCTCATTCTGTTACTATGGTTGATAATTCTGCTAATACCAATGCTCATTCTGCTCCAAATTCCCTTACTGACAATCTCTTTCATGAGTTCTTAGAGTTTAAAAAGTCATTTGAGAACAAACAGGGAGTTGGACCTGTCCATCCCCCTATTGTTGCATCTGCAACCATAAACCCAGGGCAGTCAGGTAATCAGATTAACTCTTCACTGTTTAATAAATATACCTGGATACTTGACACTGGTGCATCTGACCATATGGTGTGTGATTTCAAACTTTTTACATCTTGCCCTACCCCTGTGAATATTAAAGTGAATTTGCCTAATGGCCAAACTGCATGTGCTAGTCATATAGGACATATCACTATTGGACCAAATCTGATTTTGCATAATGCATTGTTTGTACCCTCATTTACTTTCAACCTCATATCTGTTTCAAAATTAACCATTTCAAACAACTGCAAAATCAGTTTCTACTCTACCTATTGCACCTTGCAGGAGCTGAACAACAAAACAATGATTGGTTTTGCTTAAGCTAAAAGTGGCTTATACCATCTAAAACTTGACAGCAGTAATCATACTTTTTCTTGTAATTCATCTTTCTCTGAAAACTCTAGTGCTACTGTTTGGCACAATAGACTTGGACATTTATCTTTTCATAAGCTTGTTCAGCTTCCTTTGTCTTTACACAAAAACATTGTAACAAATCATACACCATGTGATATATGTCATTTTTCTAGACAAAAGGCCTTGCCTTATTCTGTAAGTTCTTCTATTGCATCTACTCCTTTTGAACTGATACACTGTGACATATGGGGCCCTTTCTCAGTCCCATCCTATGCTGGACACAGGTATTTTCTCACTATCCTTGATGATTTTAGCAGAACTACTTGGGTTTATCCATTACTGTCCAAATCTGATACAAAACATCACATCATGCATTTTTACAATATGGTAAAAACTCAGTTTCAGTTGCATATTCAAAACATCAGAACTGATAATGGTTCAGAATTTTTCATGAAAGACTTTTTCCATCAAACTGGTATTATTCATCAAACCAGCTGTGTTGAAAATCCTCAGCAAAATGGCAGAGTTGAAAGAAAACATCAACATCTTTTGCAAGTAGCTAGAGCAGTCATGTTTCATGCTAATTTACCTCTCATTTTTTGGATAGACTGTGTCTTAGCTGTTGTACATATTATCAACAGAACACCTTCATCTGTTTTACACAACAAAACACCCTTTGAACTTCTTTACAACAAACCTCCTACATATGATCATTTTAAAACCATTGGGTGTCTGTGTTATGCTTCCACTATTCAATCTCACAGATCCAAATTTGATAAAAGAGCTTCAAAATGCATATTACTTGGCTATCCTCTAGGTTGTAAAGGATATAAACTTTACAACTTGGATACCAAGCATATATTAATCTCCAGAAATGTGATCTTTTATGAGTCTGTGTTTCCCTATAAAGACTTGTTTTCTACTCATTCCTTTTCTGATAATCTGTTTCCTCTTCCCCCTACTGAATTCATTGATACTCCTCTCTATACACAAACAAATTCTTCACCTATTCATGCTACACCATCCTCACCTAATACTACATCATCCCTTCCTGATATTTCCCAATCATCTCCACAGTCCTCTCCAAACAATGTCATACCTTCATCTGCAACTTCATGTCCCACAGACATCACTGATATAAACCCAACTCTTAGGAGATCTACCAGACAAAGGCAGCCTCCTTCTTACTTACAAATATACAACCACTCTCTACCTGCTTCTTTTTCTAATGCCTCTGTCTCTGATTCACAGACTCTCACATCTGGAAACATTATTCATCCATTATCAAAACATTTGTCTACTGAGAGACTTCATCCATCTCATTCATGTTTTACAGCTTCTATTAGTCTTATTAAAGAGCCAAGATCATATAAACAGGCTGTTTTAGATCCTAATTGGCAAATGGCTATGAATGCTGAAATTACTGCACTTGAGAAAACCAATACTTGGATTCTTACAGATCTTCCCCCTGGTAAGCATTGTATTGGGTGCAAATGGGTATATAAGGTAAAATACAATTCAGATGGCACCCTAGGTAGATATAAAGCTAGATTAGTAGCTAAGGGTTATACTCAAGAAGAGGGAATTGATTATTTTGACACATTTTCTCCTGTTGCCAAGATTACTTCTGTGAGATTACTTTTAGCTATTGCTTCTGTTAAAAATTGGTTTCTTTATCAACTTGATGTTAATAATGCCTTTCTACATGGTGATCTTGATGAGGATATATACATGACCCCTCCCCCTGGTTATATTGATTCCAATTCTACAAAAGTTTGCAAATTAGTTAAAAGTCTTTATGGCCTTAAACAAGCCTCTAGACAATGGTTTCATAAACTTACCTCTTGTTTGCTAAAATTTGGCTATACTCAGTCCAATTCTGATTCCAGTTTATTCATCAAAAACAAACTTGGTTCTTTTACTGCCTTGCTTGTCTATGTTGATGATATTATACTTGCTGGTGATGATTTGCATGAAATTGATTCTGTTAAGGCTCATTTGCATGATCTGTTTACTATTAAAGATCTTGGTAAGCTTAAATACATGCTTGGAATTGAAGTTGCTCAATCTGATAAAGGCATTCATCTTTGTCAAAGGAAATATGCCTTAGACATCTTGCATGACACTGGCTATTTAGATTCTAAACCTGCTCAAACTCCTATGGATTCCAATTTAAAGCTTACTTCTACTTGTTCTGATAATTCTCAGTTTGTTGATGCAAAGTCTTATAGACAGCTTATTGGCAGATTACTTTATCTAACTATTACTAGACCTGACCTTTCTTATTGCATTCAAGCACTTAGTCAACATCTTACTGCACCTACTCAACAGCACTTGACAGCTGCCCATAGGGTGCTCAGGTATATTAAATGCACAGTTGGCAAAGGTATCTTCTACCCTCGAACTTCTTCTCTATCTTTACATGCTTATTCAGATAGTGATTGGGCTGGCTGTATAGATACTAGAAGAAGCATTTCTGGTTTTGCATTTTTTCTTGGTAATTCATTGATTTCATGGAAATCTAAGAAACAACAAACAGTGAGTAGATCATCTGCTGAATCTGAGTATAGGGCTCTTGCTTCAGCAGCTTGTGAAGCTCAGTGGCTGCTTTATCTTCTTGCTGATTTTAATATTACTCATTCCATTCCCATAACTATTTTTTCAGATAGCAAATCTGCAATAGCCTTAGCTCATAATCCTGTCCAGCATGAGAGAACCAAGCATATAGAAATAGACTGTCATCTCATTCGGGAAAAGCTAGCACAAGGGAAAATTGGACTGCAATTTGTTCCTTCTCAAGACCAAGTGGCAGACATTTTTACCAAACCCCTTGGAGTTCAAGCTTTCAAGACTATTGTTTCCAAGATGAGCATGCTTAATATCCACGCTCCTCTTGCGGGGGTGTTAGAATACTTCATTCATTTAGCATTATTATTTTATTCATTCTTCTTATTTGTAAAAGTGCTGTTATAAGAAACACACTTCTTTTGTATTTAGGAATAGCCTCTTTAGTCCATGTATAAATAGCACTAACCCTAGATCTCAAGACACTTTTTCCGCTTTTCATATTTTTACAGAAGTTGGTTTTCTCTCCTCGTGCTCTTGTATTTCCTCTTGTATTTGTTCTTCAAATCTGTTCTTCAGATTTTATCACATTCTTTCACGCTCAAATTTCAGACTTTAAATTACAATATTAATCAAGAACAAATAAATATTGTGTATTGTGGTCCTACCCGGCTCGATTCCGAATTAGTCGATTCTCTTGTGGATCCAAAAACCGAAAAGTCCTTGTACCAAAAATAAATATTGTGTAAGTATGCACTTGCAAGGAAAGTACGGGTGTCTAACATTAGACAATCTAACAACAACCTTTACTAAGTGTATAAATAAATATTAAACAATATTAATACGACATATCTATAATTGTTTTAATATTATATCTATCAACTAATGAGAACGCTTCACATGGCAATAAATAATTGCTACAGAAATCCTCCCTATGTATAATTCTCGAATGCGTTGAGCTTACGTGGCTGTTTCTAGTGGTTTGGAATTCTACTTGGCGAAGAATCATGCTTCGTAATTAGGTTTGGACAAATAATATTGATATATTAATAACTAATAATCTAGGTTCGGATATTCCATAAATATTATTTAGCTAAGTTAGGTAATTTAATATCATTTGTACTAATATGACAATTTAATTCTTTGTAATTTTACATAGTGAGACACTAAGTGACTGATATATCACTTACTTTTGATTTGTTTCCTTCAATTAGCTATTGAATTGTAAATGTATTTCAAAAGTTGATAACTTTTGTATTTCTTATCGATTTTACATATATAATATATCAAATTAATCATCTTTTGATGATCTTCGATTTGACATTCATATTGTATATATGAAATAAATAAATTATATTTATCTTTATAATAATAAAAAATAATAATATTTATTAAAAGTCATTAGAACAATAAAATTATTTTTCAAAATTGATATATTTATGTTTAATGTAGTTATATGTTGTAAGTTAAAAAAATTATTATAATATAACACACGTAAGTCGCACAAATAAAAAATGTCATGCTAAATATATAATAATATATATATATTTATAAAAGGTATTTAAATTTTCAATTATTTTTCCTCAATAATTTTAAATTTTAAGAAAAAAAATTAACAAACACCCCGTGTAATATACTTGCATTGTACTAGTTATATTTAAAAACAAACGTTTTTATTAAAATAAAATATCATATATATTAGGGCTGTGCACCTGGTACCTCGTCACTATAAATACGGGGCACTAAGTTTGCAATTTCAAAACATCCTCAAAGTGCAAAAAAGAAAAGGAGTGAAACTTAATTTTGTCTACAATATTATTTGTCCTAAGAAACAATGGCTGGCCAAGTGGATGAATCTTCAAGCTCCGTGAGGAATCTCCGGCCACCGGTGGTCACTTTTAGCCCCAGCCCTTGGGGCGACCATTTCACTCACTTCTCATTGGACACTCAGGTGCATATCTCAATTATCACAAAAAACAGTTATCACAAATTTTTGTGCGATACAATCAAATTGTATTAGACGGGTCAGATTATCATGCTATTTAAATATATATTATTAAATATCTATATTAAATATCGTATTATTATTAATATCTATATATATAATTGCTAGCAACAAATGTAATTAAACTCTTTAAGTTTTCTTCCATGTTTCGTTACTTTTGCATTAATTAAATAATTATATTTTTTATTTATTATATTATATAACAACCACTACTAATAAATCATAAAGTCACATTAAATGATATTTGTAATCTAATTTTTTTCAATTATTTATTTAAAATTACTATTTCTTTCTTTTTTTTTGGTTTTAACTTATTGAGCAATTTTTTTTATTAACATTGGTTAATTATTTTTTATGATATAACCAAACTTTTTAAAATTTCGTGCACAACTGCTATAATAATAACTTCAATATTGTTTTATCTAATCAATTGTTTATGATCATCAAAGATTACAAAACTTATATTCCTGCAATCGAAATAAAAATTTATATGTGAGTTAACAACTTATATTTATATTGTTCATTTTTATTAATGATAAAATTTATAAAGTGTGATATGTTTTATCTAACTTACGATTTTAAATATCACATACATAAATATTCAGCATATAAAATTTTATTTGTATTTATGCATATACACAAGATATAGGAAAAGAAAAAGTATGTAGATTTATAAAAAAAAATGGTGTGGGCTTAATGTTAGACCAGTCTAATTTGAGGCCAATTGATGATGTGTTATTACTCGTTTCCAAAAAAGGAAAATAGGATTCGTAATAAAATATGGCCACTTGTGTTCACCTCGTACGTTAATCCTACCAAAAAAGGAAAGCGGATTGGTAATAAAATCTGGCCATTTTTTATTAGTTCATACGCTACTAACTCCTACCAAGTACCAAACTCTTCTTGACAAATGAACTCACATAAGCATAATTAATGGACTAAACCAACACAGAAAAACTCAAAACTAAACTAACCTGGTATTTAGATGGCCACGGGCCACCCGGCCCGGACCGACCCAGAAAGACGCGTGGTCAATGGGTTCGGGCCCGGCCCAAATTTTAACCGGACTGGGTCAAAGTCGGCCATTCGATCATATGACCCGTTGGGCCGGGCCTGGAAAAATCAACGATTTTTTTTTAGGACGGGTCCTAAAACACATTTATTAGTTTATCAATTAACTTATTACCTATCAATTAGCTTTTTTCCGTTGAATCTATCAAACATACTCCGTTTTATATTTGATAACTGCATACTAATGTGTTGCACATGCATGCAGGAGCAAGAAAAGTATGCAGAAGCCATCGAAACCTTGAAGAATGAAGTGAGAGCTAAGATTAATGATGCAAAATCTAGCAAGTCGTTGATTACTTTAATCGCTACAATTGAGCGCTTGGGATTGGGATATCATTTTGAGACAGAAATTACTTCTAAACTCGGAACAATATACGAAAATCTGCACGATAAGAACGAAGACCACGACTTGTTTACTACTGCACTCGGATTTCTTCTCTTGAGGCAATATCAGTATCAAGCTTCTTGCAGTATGTCCTATTTGCACCACGTTACACTTAACTGATCACGCGCACATATTTTATTTGTATTAACTGAATTTCTTATTCGATCATCCATGACCGTACGATCAAATCACAGGTATTTTCGAGAAATTTAAGGATGGAGAAAACAAATTCAAAGATGATGTGGCGAATGATGTCGAGGGGTTGTTGAGCTTGTACGAAGCGGCCCATGCTCGTATTCATGGGGAGGATATTTTAGACGAGGCCGTTCCGTTTACAGTACATCACTTAAAGCGGATATTGGCAACCGAGACAATAGATTTCTCACTCAAAGAACAAATTACGCGAGCTTTAGATCATCCCCATTACAGGGGAGCTCCAATCGTTGAGATACGAATTTTCATTTCACTCTACGAAAAGAATGATTCGAAAGACCCATTGCTTCTCAAACTCGCCAAGCTCAATTTCAATTTCTTGCAGAATATGTACAAGAAAGAGATGTCCGAACTCACGAAGTAACTATACTTCACCATTTTCTTTCTTTCGTTCTGTTTTTGTTTTTGGTGTTTAAATAAGTTAATAATGAAACATAAAGTGTACTTACCAAATTTTGTTGTATTTGAAAGGTGGTGGATCCAATTTGACCTTAAGTCGAAATTGACGTATGCACGAGACAGATTGATCGAATGCTACCTCTGGGGAGCAGCTTTCCATTTCGAACCTCAGTATGCTTATATTCGAACAATTGTTGCTAAGAACATGCAAATGGTTTCGATATTGGATGATACGTATGACAATTACGCTACACTTGAAGAAGCTCAACTCTTCACCGACATTTTGGAAAAGTACGTAGAATCTCATTTTTTTTTCCTGGAAAATAAGATTTAAATTTCTCTCTTCAAATATAAAGAGAAATATAGATGGATTATTTGAAGCATAATTTTTTATTTTCAGATGGGATGTAAATGAAATCGATCGACTCCCAAATTACATGAAGATTGTTTATGAGTTCATCATGAGCATGTACGAAGACTTTAAACGCGATGCAGAGGAACAAGACAAATCCTTTGTAGTTCCCTTTTACATAGAAGCGGTAATGAGTCTATAATCTATTTGACATCAAGATTCAAAGTTACCGACTAATTAATATTTAAACACTTGACATCATTTATAATGTCTAAACCTTTCACAACAGGTGAAACAGCTTGCTCGAGCTTACAATCAAGAACAAATATGGATAATGGAACGTCAAATGCCTTCGTTTGACGACTATATGAACAACTCGGTTATCACAAGTTGCATGTATGTGATGTTCTCGGCTCTAATCCCAGGCCTCAAATCAGCTACCAAGGATATTGTTGATTGGATGGCGAGCGAGCCGAAAATCATAATATCCACTGCTAAGATGGGTCGACACCTTGAGGACTTGGGCAGCGAAGAAGTGAGTATAGTGTACATCAACAATTTAAGTTGAAGAATTTATATATATGATCACTCATTTTTCATGTAGTGTGGTGAGACTTAACGTAGGTTCGTTTTTCTTTTTCCATTTTGAAATCTTGAAGCGCGAGAATAGAGAAGGAAAATTGCCAACAGTGGTTGATTGCTACATGAAAGAGCATGGCGTGTCGAGAAAAGAGGCTTTGTCGAAATTCAAAGAGTTTGTGGAGAATGGGTGGAAGAATGTGAATACAGAGTGGGTCGCCAAGAGCTCGGTACCAAAGGAAATTGTCGTGCAGCTCATTAACTATGGGCGGGTGGCCGAGGTGACCTACAAGAACGCGATAGACCATTATACGTTCCCTGAGAAGTTCATGACTCCGGTTATTACCGCCACATTTGTTGACCCCATTGCCATTTGATATTGAATCTATCTATTGTTGTTTGTTATGTGTTTTTGTTTCAAATTGCATTGTTAATTGCATATGTTGTTCTTGAATTCTGGTTTACTGTTGTTTGGATTTCTATTGTTTTTGTGTGCTTTTGCATTGTTGAACATTTATTGTTCTTGAATTATGGGTGTATTTTGGTTGTATTAAACCCTATATGGTTGTTCGAGTATGGAGCAATAAATAAAGTTTTATGAGTAATTATAACTGTTATGTGTGATAAATCTAGTTGGTAAGCTAGTGTATAGCGTTTATGTGAATTTTGAGCTTATAGTTGATACCTTATGACTTATGGCTGAAAAATTAACTTGTATGATAAATGTGTTTGATAAAATTAACTAATAAGCTGATGAGGTAGCTGAAATAAAAATTTCAAAAACTACCCGAGTAAGAGATAAGCTCAGACTTTAAAAAAATAAAATAAAAAAAAAAAAAAACCA